AAACCAGGTAGAATAGACACTTATAGTTTGAATTAGAATTTGTATTTATTTTTAAGAATTACTTATTGAGTTTATTTTTTTATAATTATTTTATTTAACTTTATTTATTTATTTAAATTTAATCAGAGAGGGACAGAGTGAGAGAAACAGAGAGGAAGAAAGTGAGAAAGCAAGCCACCAGATCCGGGACCCAAACCACAGTCAGCCATGTGGAGATCCAGCACCCACAACCACTGCACCACCTGCTGGTCCCAAGTTCATTTATTTTATTTGCTACAGGGCATGTGCACTTACCAGAGACAGAGAAAGACAGAGAGGGAAAATGAGAAGGAAGCCACTTGGTCTGGGACTTGAACCTCGTTCAGCCATGTGCGAGTTCAACATTTCAACCACCATACCACCTGCTGGCCCAGAGTTTGTTTATATTTAAAGTATATTGGAAAGCCACAGAAAATACGGACTTGAATTGATATTTCAGAAAGATCACACTACTCTGAGAACGGGATGAGGAAGACTTGGTTGGGAGTAGGCTAAGAATATAGATAAAATGACAGATTTGGGGCTATTGCAGAGAAAATGACGAAATGAAGGCTAATTCATATATTTCAGAAACAAAATGAACTAGATTTCTGGTGAATTAGATGAGGAAGTGAGGGGAGAGGCAAAGGATTAGATGCAGGTGCTAAAAATGACCCCATACATTTCTGACTTTTGAAAGAGTAAGTTCCCTGGAGGAATCAAGATAACAGTTCTCAATGAATTAACGTTAGTTGTATGTGAAACTTCCGTGTAGAAATTTTACATAATTCATTTGATATTTGTCAGAAGCCTATTCTAGCTAGATATATCAATTTAAGAATAATAAAGATATCGAGGGACAGCAGTTGGCATAATGGCCATGTTGCTGGACTCCCTTATAGTCAACCATGGTTCGAGTCCTGGACCTGGTGGCTTAAAACTCACACCGGGCACGATCCCAAGAGGAGAATGGAGGAGAAGGAATTGCGGCGTGGCCATGCCCCCTGGGGGGTGTTTTCTTGCTTTCTGTCTCTTCTCTTTCTGGCGAGCGCACACACCCTATAGCGAAAACCTAAAAAAAAAAAAAAAAGAAGAAGAAGAAGAAGAATAAAGATCTCGAAAGTATTTAAACCCATTAAAATGAGAATGACGAGAGAATAGGCTATATGACAGAAGTTCTGATGCATATAGGAATACAGTACATAGTATAAGGAATAAAGACAGACCACTGTGAGGAAATGAATAGCTATTGATACATTCTTTAACTGGACATGGGGTGGGGGTGAATGCATGAATATAGAACATCTGAAGGGGACCACCTCTATTCAGCTCAGACAATCTTACCAAATAAATATAGGCCCAATGTTTTAAAGAAATCTTCCATGTTTTAAAGAGAAGTTAGGGATTTGGATTTTTGTAACTTTTCAATTATTTATGGAAAACATAATTTATGCTTAAAATACTATGTGAGTCAGTGTTGATTAAACCCACTAGTTTACAATCCATTGGGACAAGGTACTTAAGATTATTTGAAGGTTAGTTAGAGGATTAGTAGTCAGAGAAGATAATAGGGAAACTAGAAGAATAATGTTGCAAAACCCAAGGATAGAGAATGCTTCACATTATTGGCATGATCCAGTATTTGATATGCTGCTGAAATGTGGGGTAAGTTGATACTTGAAAAGGTCTACTTGATTTGCCATTGTGGAGTAGGCAATTGGTAACATTGCCAAGAGTAGTTCTTGGCGTGAACCAATAACATAAGGTACAGCTGGCACGTGTGGACTCCCTGTCATTTAAGACACAGGCTTATTCAAGTCCTTGAACCTTTTGTGTGATATGAGAATCTAAACTAAATAAAAAGGAATGAAATGAAAAGTACTCCTTCCCACTCTACCCCACCCCTGCCAGAATGAACTAATAGTAAAGAAGTGAAGATTTGATTGAGGCCAGCAGATGGCATAGCAGTTCCATTGCTGGACTCTCCCACATGGTCTGCTGTGGTTTAAGTCAGACCCTGTGGCTTGAAAATCACTCCCTGCACACGTGCATGTGTGCCCAAGATCCTGGGAGGAAAATGGAAGAGAAGGGATTGCAGCGTGGCCATCCTTCCTGGGGTGTGATTTCGTACTTTCCCTCTCACTGTCTCTGTGTGTCCCTCTTTCTGGCAAGCACCTGTGCCGTAAGGCAAAAACCTCTTTTAAAGAAAAAAAAGAAGAAAGGAAGAAGTATGATGATTTAAAATGTGGACATTTCTTTTGAAAAGCTTTTTAGTGGAACTTCAGCAAAATAGTCATACCTGGAAGAAAATTGGAATCAATGTATAGAATTTATTTTTAATTCAATGAATAAATAGAAGGAATGTGTGATTTTAAAGGGAAATGAAATGTGATATCAGTTTAGTAATTTGTGGCTTAGTTTTTTGGGGCTTGTATACAGAAGTTATCTGTAATAGTGGCTAGAGACTGATATCATAAAATACTGACGCAGGGACGCTGTAGTGCAGAGGTGATCAGACCCAGCACCTACAGCAGGACCCGGGTTCTCGTCTCTCCTAAACGAATAATTAAGACACCCAGACATGGAAAGGGGCTAGCAAGTGGGATTTTTTAAGAGAGGGGAGAAGAACAGAGCTCTTAAATAGGGAGTGGGTCCCAGAAAATGGGTTGCCAAAGAGGAGCTGGGGCGGGAGTGGGGGCTTCTCCGGGTCACAGAGGCTTTGTTCAGGATTCTTGTGCATGCATTCCCCTTACGTTGGGGTCACATGTCATATAGGTTATGCAGTACCTTAGGGTGGTCTCATGACTATGTAATGGTGGCTAATTTGTTCAGAACTGTTAATTTAGAACATGTGATTATCTTACTTAACTTTGAGGGCCTGGTGATCCAGATCTTGGAATTCATCCCTCAGAATCAGGGAGGGTCCCAACAACCATCAGGGAGTACCTTGCCCCATTCTGCTCTTTCTAAAAATGCTTTCACATTATTTGTGTGCCTTGGACTATGTCCATCTCAACTTTTGGTCTCTTCTTAAAGTGTGACACACAACACTATGGAATACTACTTAGTCTTAAAAACAGTGAGACCCTGGTATTTGATAAAGTGGACAGATATGGAAGATTTACTGCTAAGTGAAGCTAGTCGGACTATCAAAGATAGGCATTATATGTCCCGCTTAATATATACCGCATATCTGCACTCCATGGCAGAAATTGAAATATTGGACGATATAAAGGCATGGAGAGCAACTGTGAATACCAGAGACAGTGTGGGAGAAAGATGGGAAATGGCGGAGGGTAAGAGGGAGAGAATTAATGGACGAAAAAAGGAAGTAAACATAAACACAAAATGGAAAATTACCTGAAGATAATACAAATAGTAATATCTTTGACCCAAATATACAGTGTATTCTGCATGGGAAAATTCGTTTTGTATGCTACAATAATAAATTAATGTGAAATAATTTTTATTAATGTAAAAAATTTTAAAAAAAGATCTAAGGGCAAAGGAATGTGGTTTCTGAGAGAGGAGAGGAATTAGGGTCAAACAAAAATGGGGGAATTTAATGACCATGAGCTACACAACACAGTGACTCTCTTCTCAGGGGGCTCCCTGCCCTTTCTGCCTGTAAGTAGGGTCTGTCTCCTGTTTCACGATGTGCTCTCTCAAACTCTAATATGCATACAAATCACCCAGGGTTCTTATTATAGTGAAACTTCTGGTTCCATAGACTTGGGATGAGCTTCAGGATTCTGCATTTCTAACACTCATAGGTGATACCAATGCCATTAGGTCCATGAGTATTAATAAAGGTCAATAAAAATAGAAGCTAAAAATCACTAGCTCATCTAAAGTTCTATGAGATTTCACTCTTTTTTTTTTTAGAGCAGATATGTGTCTTATATGTAACAAACATTTTAAGACAGGAAAGAAAAGACAGCAGCTCTTCCGTGGTATTTGCAGTTCACCCTACGATGACCAAGTGTATTATTTTTTTCTTTCTTAAATTGAGGCACCTGAAGTTCAGAGATGTAAATAGTATACAGTGAGCAAAAAATGTCAAGTTTGAGGACCAGTAGGTGGTGTGGTAGTTGAGGTGCTGGATTCCCACATGGCTGTCAGCCATGACCAGACTCAGCAGCTTGAAGATCATGCCAGGCACATATATGTACATGCATACCCAAACTCCTGAGAGGAGAAAAGAGAAGAGATTGGGATTGCGGCATGGCCATTCCCAAAAGTTCTCACTTTCCCTTTCTCTGACTGCCTCTGCCTCTCTCCCATAAGCACACTTACCTTACGGCAAAAACCTAAAAGAAAATAAAGAGCCAAGTTTCCCTGGATATTAGTCTACATTTGTTTGCTTTACAACATCATTTGAATTTTCCTTTTGTTTTTCACAGATTTTTAGATCAATTTTTTCTTCTGTAATAAAAATAGTTCAGTTTGTTATATGTGATGTTTAATTTTAAAATTCCCTTTAGCCTAGTTTTCTCCCATGTGTATAAAGGCTGCAGATTTGGTAAAAAGGCATTCCCATATTTCTTTTAGAGATCTTTTTAGAAATGTGAAAGCATACAAGAGAGCTAGGCATGTGGTTTTAAGAACTCCATGTGTTTGAAAAGCAAGTTTTTCAGGGCCAGCAGTTTTTCAGGTGGTTGAGGCACTGGACTCCCACATGGCCAACCACGGTTTAAGTCCTAGATCTGGCAGCTTGCTTTCTCACTTTTCCTCTCTGTATCTCTGGTCAGATTAAAATATAATAAATAAAATTAAATAATTCTTTAAAAAAGAAAAAGTTTTTATGAAATCTGTCAAACCCAGGATGATTGGTAGAATACAAAGATGCAGTGGGAGATTATCGAACTGTGTCAGAGCTACAGTATGTAAAAAGCTTTTATCTCAGGAATACAAGTCATTATAAACGTTTAGTTCTTACTTTTTTCATAGTCTAATATTGAAATAAAAATACTCTCTTTTAGGATGTCATAACAGTATTTGGAGAATTCACTGATGAAAATGTGAAACATAGAAAGTATGCAAGATGGAAGGCAACATATATCCATAATTGTTTAAAGAATGGGGAGACTCCTCAAGCAGGCCCTGTTGAAATTGAAGAAGATAATGGTATGTATGTATGTATTTATTATAAAAAGATTTGATAGAATCATCATTGTTCAGTGAGTTATTTTTCAAAGTCTTTGGGAGAAACAATACAGTTTTGATTCTATTGTGTCCAAAATCCATGAAAATAGAAAATCATAAATTTAGAGACAGTAAGAGATTAAAGCCAAAATGTTATAATATCTTTCCACATCAACAAACGATTCGACAAACGGTTTGACTGTCTCCTACCACTAATCAGACTTCATTCTTATGTAGGAAAAGCAGTCCATTTAATTTCTGAACCACAAAGAGCACTATGTTATTTTTTCTTTATCTATATGAATTGTGTGGATTTCTTTGGGGAGTTGGGTACATAATACAATCATATGGTTCAGAAATTAGGGCATATAGAAAATATGAAAAGATTTTCTCCTTTCCACAAGATCCTATTGCCCAGATCCCACCAAGGCTTAAATAACTAAACACTGGCTTCAGTTTTAAATGTATAGAGGCGATGGCCACATGGCCTCGGTATTGAGAATGATATCTTGGCACTATTCTCTGTAACTCTTAACCTCTTCAGATTTTTTTTTTTAATCAGTGCCTAGTAAATGAATGTACACTCTGTAATAATTGATAGTTTAGTTCTTTTAGCTTATTTTAGTGACTTCTGTATCTTTGTGCTGTCCTAATACTTTTTTAGTTCTAAGTTGCAGTTTTCACAGGAAGTATACATATATGTACAAGATTGTATGAAGGTCTTCAGGCAGTTCATGGAAAATGCATATTACGAAAGAAACTGCATTGATTTAAAAAACAATTTTTGCACCAAAATATGTTTGTACTGTAATTCCATTTTCTGTGAACTTTTTGAAATCCTATAAGAATGCCACTTAAAAAGAAATTATAGCTCTGTTGAGTATTTTCATAGATCATTTAAGAATGTTCTATGGGTGAGTGGCAAATAAACACATGAAAAGATGTCATAACCTTTAGGCATTAGAGGAAGATAAATTAAAACCACACAAGACTGCCTACCCACCTCCCAGAATCTCAAGCTAAAGTTTAACAAGTTGATAGTTCTGAGTACTGACAAAGATGCTGAGCAGCTGGAACTCCCATTCTTTGCTTGTGGGAAAAGAAAAGGAAAAGAGTTTGTCAGTTTTAAATAAAATTAAATATATACTTAGCATGAGACCTAACAGCCCTACTCACAGATAGATATTTACCAAGAGATGTGCAAACGTATGTGCATGAGACCTAACAGCCCTACTCACAGATAGGTATTTACCAAGAGATGTGCAAACGTATCACTCAAAAGCCTATATATGGGGGAACAGCAGATGGCGTAATGGTTCTGTCACTGGATTCCCACGTAGTCAACCGCAGTTCATGTCCCAGACCTGGTGACTTGAAACTCACACTGGGTGTATGAGTGTGCACCCAAGATCCTGAGAGGAGAATGGAGGAGATGGGATTGTGGTGTGGCCATCCCTCCGGGGGGTGATTTCTCTCTCCAAAGAGTGCACATGCCCTATAGCAAAAATCTCTATTAAAAACAAAAACACACATACATACATACATATGAAAAAAAGCCTATGCATGAATGTTTATAACAGCTTCATTTTTAATTGCCAAAATCTGGAAATAATTTAGATGTCATCAATATGTGAATGGGTCAACAAATTGTATAATAGAATACTACTCAGCAATTAAAGTGAATGAACTACTAATATATAGTATATTCTGATCACAGAAGCAAAACCACCAGGTCCAGGTCATATTATCTGATATTGTATTGGGTCATTGGGAGGGATATGACTTGTTTTTCCTAATATGATTACACTTATGTAATATTCTGGAGCTATTCCTTGCTCCTAAATGCTTATTCTTCTTTGTCTATTTGCTCATCTTAGTGATCTCTCTTACCTGAATTTCCACAAAGTTGATATATATAATCTTAGCAAAGAGACATTATTTAATTAGTATCTTTATAACTTAGATTAATATCTGTAGAGTACTTACTAGGTTTTAGGCATTATGTTAAATATTTTACTTGTAGTATCTAATTGAGTCCTAACTTGGAAGATAGTTGGACATCCCTATTTATAGTTGGGGAACGAGTGGCTTTTTTTGTTTTGTTTTGTTTTATAATATGCTATAGGACACTTGTGCTCACATGGGGGGGAGAGAGAGAAAGGGAAGGTGAGAAAGTACTCCCTTTGGGAGATGATCACACAGCAGTTCCTTCTCCATTTCTGTTTACTTTCAGGATTTGAGGCATACATGCACATGCTCCAAGCATATTTTTGAAGCTGATGTATCTGGGACTTGAATTTCACAGTCAGTTTTGTGGGATCCAGGTGCCTTACCCACTGTGCCACCAACTGGCTCAGAAATGAGTAGAGAGGATAAATAACTTTCCCAGACTTTTTTTTTTTAATTTGTTGTATTATTATCATTATTACTATTATTATTATTATTAATTTGACCAGAGAGAGAAAGGGAAGGGAAAGTGAGAAAGCAAGCCACCAGGTCCAGGACTCAAAACATGGTCAGCCAAATGGGAATCCAGTACCCCAACCACTGTACTACTTGCCGGCCCCAGAAACTTTTTTTTAACACACTTTTGCTATAGGGCACGTGCACTCACCAGAGGCACACACAGAAAGTGAGAAACCACCCCCCATGGTATACCCCCTGTGGTACATGGTCATACCACAGTCTCTTGTCCTCCATTCTCCTTTCGGGATTTGGGACACACAGACGCATCAGGCATGAGTTTCAAGCCTCCAGGTCCAGGACTCAAACCCTGGTCAGCCATGTGGGAGTCCAGTGTCTTAACCACTGTGCCACCTGCTGGCCCCTCATAAACCAACTTTAAAAACTAACCATAATTTGAATCAAGAGCTTTTGATTTAGTCTTTGCTCTTAAATTTTTCTTTTCAATAAAGACTTCCACTATTTGTATTCCCCACTAACCCTTACAGAAGAACATCTCAACTGAGCAACATGATAATCATTAATTTAACCTCTTGAGAACATAATGTCAACATTATAAGGAATATTTCTATAGTTTAGAGCCTTGCATTTATATTGATCCCTATCATCTAGGGCATATCTGTGTTCTTTCCATTTTAAAATGATAGACACATAATTTTCTCCTTTCATTTTTTTAAAAAACTTCTTTTTTAAAATATTATCTTGTCAGCTTTAACCAGGTATTAGGGCTAAATAAGACATGGTCTCTTTCTTACAGGAATTTAGATATTATGAGGCGCTACAGATTAAGAAACCGTTATAATCACAGGTAGTATGAAATTGGACCTGAGTCTTAAATGTCAGTTGAACTGTCAGATAAAGAAAGGGGTAAAAGGGACCAGCGGTTAGCATAATGGCTATCTTGCTGAACTCCCACATAGCTGACCGCGGTTCAAGTACCGACCCAGTGGCTTAAGCTCACGCCGGGCGCGTGCACTTGCATGCCCAAGATCCCGAGAGGAGAATGGAGGAGAAGGGATTACGGTGTGGCCATACCCGCTGGCGGGGGATTTCTCTCTTTCTGTCTCTTTGTCTCTCTCTGTCTGTTTTGAAAATGCACCCTGTAACAAAAACCTCTCCAGAAAAAGGGGGGGGGGGAATGATGCTGCAACTGAGAGGAAGAACATCTAGAACATCTACAGAAGCAGATGGACAGATTGAAAACCAGCCAGAGTATGAAAACTGGGAAAAAGACTTTATGGGATTGAATTGAAGTTAGATAACTTGACAGGTTGTCAGATAAACCCAGGGGCTATTATTAATCCCAGTAGTAAATGACAGCCTGGGTGAGGTAATGGCCATGGAGGTAAAGAGAACAAAGTATAGTTAGGGGAGTATGAATAATCAATAGTTAAATGTGAAGAGGACGAAAGTGGAAGGTGACCCCTGTATTTCCACCTTAAGTGGTTGGAGGCATGATGAGTCCCATCAAAGAAATGGTTAATACAAAACAAGCAGGTTTGGTAGAAAAATTCAGAGAAGACATTGAGATCTTAAGGTAATTACTACTTGAAGTAATTCAACTGGGAGTTACATATTCTACCAAAGGTTCCAGTTGAAAGGTCTGGGATTAAAGTAGAACTTTGAAGTTGTCAGTTCAAAAACAAGAGCTGAGACCCAAAGTACAATATAATGTAAGATTACCCAGGGAGCATGTATAGCCTAAGAACTAATGCCAAAGACTAAACCATTCTTCCCATTTAGTAATTACATTAGATGGGAAACTCAAACAGAGGCACTTCTCTATTTTCTGATTACATACAAGGTGCCTTTTACATATACATACCTGTAGGAAATGTGAAATATATGTGTAGTTTCCTTCAAAGATTTGATTTAGGAAGATACTTTACCTCATATATAATTATTCATATACTTCGAAATACATCATGAAAAGATCTTTTACTGTTGTAAATACACCATTTTACTTTGAGGACTGCCACAAATGTTTCATTTTAGATAATTGAAATGACTAAGCATTAGTTTTGGTTTTTAGGCGTTCAGAATCAGTGACTTTTTTAACAATCAGATTCTTAATCTTTTGATCTTGAGTATAGGAAGTGTTTGATTATCATCTCAAACTTTTTTGTCCTGAAATTGTTGTAAGCTTTTTATAACATTAACCAAATAGATTATTAAGTCTAGGTCATTTTTTGTTTGTTTTCTAAAAATCAGTTTAAGTAAAAGTTCTAGTTTCTATGCCTTATTTTTGTACAGATTTGATGGAGCTTCTGGATAGTAGAAACTTTTGAACTATAGAATTTTAATAAATTCCTTAAAATACAAAAGAGAATATTTTCACTGGTTTTTTTTTTCATCTTACTAACCTGGTATCATAATTAGGTATTAATGTCATACCATCTAATAATATCTTCTGAGAAATGGCTTATGACTCCACAAAAGGATGTATATAAGAAAAGTCTTTAAGTATATCTGAGTGTGTATGAGAAAAGTCTTTAAGATCTCTGCTTTTTTCTTTTTTTTTAGTCACTTTATATTGTATTTTTAAATTAACTCTTACAAGAGATTCTCAATGTTTGTTTAACAAGATCTAATGATGTATTGTTCTGGAATTGAATTTCTAGTAAAACAAGTAGAAAATAATGGGTACTATACCTCAGTTAATTCGGGTTAGGAAGAAAGGAATGGTGTACTTAATTTTGAAAACAGTAATGTGTGTTATACTAATGTGTATTAAGTGCTTGTTGTGTACCACAGCTTCATGACATTTAAACAGATATAAAATTGATGATGTAAAAAATAGATAATTAAAATCACTCCTTTTATAAGGTAACTTAATTTTGATAATGTCAAATTATCAGAAAGTTGTCAGAAGACTATGTGTTGAACATCCTTAATCTGAAGATCTAAAGTGAAATCTGTAATACTTCAAAGTTCAAAACTTTTTGAAAGCCAACATAATGCCACTAGTGGAAAATTCCAACCCTGGCCTCATGTTCCTGGTCACAGTCAAATGCAGGTGCACAGCACACACTTTATTCAGTGTCCCAAGAGAAAAAGACCCTGCCAGCTCCCTTGTGTGGTGATTCTAAACAACTGCAGATTGTCTCCATGATTGACTTATGATAGTGATACCTAGCTCTCTGTGGTTCAGTGTGCACGAACTTTGTTTCATGTATAAAATTATTTAAAATTTGTAGGAAGTGTTTGATTATCATCTCAAACTTTTTTGTCCTGAAATTGTTGTAAGCTTTTTATAACATTAACCAAATAGATTATTAAGTCTAGGTCATTTTTTGTTTGTTTTCTAAAAATCAGTTTAAGTAAAAGTTCTAGTTTCTATGCCTTATTTTTGTACAGATTTGATGGAGCTTCTGGATAGTAGAAACTTTTGAACTATAGAATTTTAATAAATTCCTTAAAATACAAAAGAGAATATTTTCACTGGTTTTTTTTTTCATCTTACTAACCTGGTATCATAATTAGGTATTAATGTCATACCATCTAATAATATCTTCTGAGAAATGGCTTATGACTCCACAAAAGGATGTATATAAGAAAAGTCTTTAAGTATATCTGAGTGTGTATGAGAAAAGTCTTTAAGATCTCTGCTTTTTTCTTTTTTTTTAGTCACTTTATATTGTATTTTTAAATTAACTCTTACAAGAGATTCTCAATGTTTGTTTAACAAGATCTAATGATGTATTGTTCTGGAATTGAATTTCTAGTAAAACAAGTAGAAAATAATGGGTACTATACCTCAGTTAATTCGGGTTAGGAAGAAAGGAATGGTGTACTTAATTTTGAAAACAGTAATGTGTGTTATACTAATGTGTATTAAGTGCTTGTTGTGTACCACAGCTTCATGACATTTAAACAGATATAAAATTGATGATGTAAAAAATAGATAATTAAAATCACTCCTTTTATAAGGTAACTTAATTTTGATAATGTCAAATTATCAGAAAGTTGTCAGAAGACTATGTGTTGAACATCCTTAATCTGAAGATCTAAAGTGAAATCTGTAATACTTCAAAGTTCAAAACTTTTTGAAAGCCAACATAATGCCACTAGTGGAAAATTCCAACCCTGGCCTCATGTTCCTGGTCACAGTCAAATGCAGGTGCACAGCACACACTTTATTCAGTGTCCCAAGAGAAAAAGACCCTGCCAGCTCCCTTGTGTGGTGATTCTAAACAACTGCAGATTGTCTCCATGATTGACTTATGATAGTGATACCTAGCTCTCTGTGGTTCAGTGTGCACGAACTTTGTTTCATGTATAAAATTATTTAAAATTTGGGGACCAGCAGGTGATGTGATGGTTAAGGTGATGGATCCCACATGGCTGGACCCAGTGGCTTACAAAACACTCACAGCACATGTGTGTGTGCGCCTAGAACCCCAAAAGGAGAATGGAGAAGAGACTGTAGCATTTCTCATTTTCCCTCTCTCTGTCTATCACTGACTGCCTCTGGCGAGCACACTTGCCCTATGGCAAAAACCTTAAAAAAGACAAACGTACAAAATGAGGTTTTCTGTTTGCTTACTTTCTTACCCTTCAGCATTTCTTTTTTGAAATAAAATCCAAGTATATACTTCAGTGAATTTGATACATAGCCCTTTTGTAAATATAAAACATTCTCATTATCCAAAAAATATAACCTCACACTCCTTCCTAGTCTCTTCCCTGCTTGAGAAGCATTTACATTATTTATTGTTTGTTTTGCCATAAATTAATTTTATGTTCCAGAAATTTGTATTAGTCGAGCTTCTTATGTGCCCAGCTCCTTTTTTTTGTGGGGGGGGGGGGGGGGGGGGGGGGGGGAACAAGGTGGGGGGGGGGTGGTAGAAAGATTTTTTTGCTACAGGGCACTTGCATTGCCAGAGAGACAGAAAGTGAGAAATCAGTCCCCAAGGAGAGGATGGCCACACCAAAGTCTCTTCTCTTCCATTCTTTTCTCAAGATTTTGGGCACACATGAGCAAGCATCTAGCATGAGTTTCAAGCCTAAGGGTCCAGTACTCTAGCCATGGTCACCCGTGTTAGAGTCCAGTGATGTAACCATTACATCATCTGCTGGTCCCATGCCCAGCTTCTTTTCCTCAGTGTTCATGTCTGAGATTAACTCATCTCTTGTGTATCAGTAGTCCATTTCTTTCACTGCTCAGTAGTCTTTCATTGTATGGATGAGTAATGTGTTTATCACTTCTGCTGATGGACAACATGGCTGTTCAAGGTTATAGTAGATAAAGCTTTTTGAACATTCAGTTACATGTGTTTTTTAAACATACGTTATATGTGACTACATAGCATATGTACCATTACTCTGGGCAAATAGGGCAGAGCTGCTTGGTTGTATATATTTAGCTCTTGTCTGAGGTGATTGTATCATTTACACTTTCATTAGTAAGAGTTTCTGTTGCTCTATATCTTTGCCAACATTGGTATTGTCGGTGTTAAATTTAGGCATTCTGACCCAAATATAGTGGTTCCTTATTATAGTTTAATTTTCATTTCCCAGTGACTAAATGATACTGAACTTTATTCTGTGGGTTTATTGACTTTTTATTTTTCTTTATTTGTGAAGTATTTTAAGGTTTTTTGCCCCCCCCTTTTTTTTTAAAGGGTTCCCCCCCCCCATAGAGTACATTCACTTGCCCTAGAGAGAGAATGAGAGGAAAGTGAGAAATCACACCCTCAGTTTTTTTGCTACAGGGCACTTGCATTGCCAGAGAGACAGAAAGTGAGAAATCAGTCCCCAAGGAGAGGATGGCCACACCAAAGTCTCTTCTCTTCCATTCTTTTCTCAAGATTTTGGGCACACATGAGCAAGCATCTAGCATGAGTTTCAAGCCTAAGGGTCCAGTACTCTAGCCATGGTCACCCGTGTTAGAGTCCAGTGATGTAACCATTACATCATCTGCTGGTCCCATGCCCAGCTTCTTTTCCTCAGTGTTCATGTCTGAGATTAACTCATCTCTTGTGTATCAGTAGTCCATTTCTTTCACTGCTCAGTAGTCTTTCATTGTATGGATGAGTAATGTGTTTATCACTTCTGCTGATGGACAACATGGCTGTTCAAGGTTATAGTAGATAAAGCTTTTTGAACATTCAGTTACATGTGTTTTTTAAACATACGTTATATGTGACTACATAGCATATGTACCATTACTCTGGGCAAATAGGGCAGAGCTGCTTGGTTGTATATATTTAGCTCTTGTCTGAGGTGATTGTATCATTTACACTTTCATTAGTAAGAGTTTCTGTTGCTCTATATCTTTGCCAACATTGGTATTGTCGGTGTTAAATTTAGGCATTCTGACCCAAATATAGTGGTTCCTTATTATAGTTTAATTTTCATTTCCCAGTGACTAAATGATACTGAACTTTATTCTGTGGGTTTATTGACTTTTTATTTTTCTTTATTTGTGAAGTATTTTAAGGTTTTTTGCCCCCCCCTTTTTTTTTAAAGGGTTCCCCCCCCCCATAGAGTACATTCACTTGCCCTAGAGAGAGAATGAGAGGAAAGTGAGAAATCACACCCTCAGAGGAATGGCCATGCTCCATTCCCTTCTCTTCCATTCTCCTCTTTGATTTTGGGCACACACACAAACACACAGTGCCTGATGTGATTTTCAAGCAACCAGATCCAAGACCCGAACCTCAATTGGCCATGTGGGAATCCAGCGCTATAACCACTATGTCACCTTCTGGCCCTGGGACAATTAAACTTTTTAAGGAAATTTAAAAAAAAAAAAAAAAAGAGAGAGAAAAAGCTGTTCTTCAAGAGAGAGCCTACTTATCAATTGCATTAAATAGAATTGCATTTGAAAAGTCTGCTTGTGTGTGTAGCAAAATATAATATTCAGCATTTGTATTTTGAAATAACTGGTTGAACATTGTGTATATATTATACAGTAGATGTTGAAGAAAATGAAGATGCTGGAGCAACCTCTCTGCCCACTCAACCACCTCAGCCATCATCATCTTCAACTTACGACCCAGGCAGTATGGCATCAGGCAGCTACACTGGAATCCAGATCCCTCCGGGGGCACATGCTCCAGCTAACACTCCAGCAGAAGTGCCTCACAGCACAGGTAGGAAATTCAAACTCAGCACTTTCTGAATTCCCCTTTCATGAATAGAAGTGCATTCCTATTATATTTATAGCTCGTAAAGATGTTCATGAAGCATACGGTCCTTAAATTCCATTTGAACAGAAAAACATTATTTTTATTGAAGTTTTATCAGTTGTTGGCTAGTTTTTTAAGAAATGACAAGTATTTATGTATGTCAATTATTATTAACTATGTATTTTAGAATAAGAATAATTTTTATACTTTTCATATGTGTGTGTGTGTGTATATATATATATATGTAATATATATATATGTTTTTTATTTCCTGTGTTTCCTTTTTTCCTTCCTTTCCCAATCTTTCTGTTTCCCTGTTAAGAATAGCATGGAAGTAAATGAGGTTTTTTGTTTTGTTTTGTTTTGTTTTGTTTTTTGGGGAGTTGTTTTTGCTATAGGGTGCATGCACTCGCCAGAGAGACAGCGAGAAACCACCCACCAGGGGGATGGCCACGCCGCAATCCCTTCTCCTCTCGGGATCTTGGGCATACACACACATGCGCCTGGCGTGAGTTTAAGCCACCGAGTCCGGAACGCAAACCATAGTCAAACTACATGGGAGTCCAGCTACATAGCCATTATGCTAACTGCTGTTCCCAATGAGGTTTATTACAGTATACATTCGATTAGGCAGAATTCTATCATGATAGCAAAGTGACATTTTCCTTGCCTCATTCTCTTGACCCTGTATGCCTTCCACATGTGTAACATGTATTGAAATGATGGCTTGAAGGCATGGTATATCAGTATTGATGGGATCATAGGCAGATAAAGGAAGGAATTCAGGTTAATTATTTTTAGGGTTTTTGCCTTGGGGCACGTACACTTACTGGGAGTGGGAGAGAGAAAGAGGAAATGAGAAATCACTCTCTCCCCCCTCTGGGGGATAGTCACACCACTATCACTTGTCCATTCTCCTCTCACAATTTTGAGTATATGTGGTTTTCAAGCTGTCATGTCCAGGACTTGAACTGCAGTCAGCCACATGGGAGTCCAGTGCTTAACCACCATGTTATCTGCTGGTCCAGTATTTTTTATTTTTTAACATTATTAATATGTAAATAAATAGTTTGAAAAAAAGGGGGGGGGGAGGAACCAGTGGGTAGCATGGTGGTTAAGGCACTGGACACTCCCAGATGGCTGACCATGGTTTGAGTTCTGGACTTGGGTTGCTTTCTCACTTTCCTTCTCTCTCTCTGTCTCTCTGTAGTCAAATTAAAATACATGAATAAATTAAAATTAAATAATAAAAAAAATTACAAATGTGTGACTTTAAAACAGGCAAGAGATGACTGTTAGAGGATAAGTTGGCTATCAGAGAAGAAGAGGGAGAAAGCATCCCCTCAGTGGAGTGTAGTCATTGCCAATTCAATCTCTTCTCCACCTCTCCATCCTATCAAGACTTTTGGTCATATGGGATCTAGCTCCTTCAACCAGTAGACTACAAGGCCAGACCGGAGACTACCACTACCTTTGAATAAATCAGTACTGAATTTATGTTTTCAGTATAAAAATGATCTGACAAAACTAATCTCCTGCAGTAAGTTAGTGTCAGTATTTTCCCAAAGTTGCAGGTTCTTTTATTTACTTGTATTTTTAACAAAATATGATCTTACTTTCAAATAGAAGACCTTATTTAGTTTGTTTGAACTTTTCCCAAAAATTATTTTTAAAATTTTACTTTATCTCAGGGACCAGCAGTTGGTGTAATGGCTATGTAACTGGACTCCCATGTAGTCGACCATGGTTCGAGTCCTGGACC